TCCGCCTTGTGTGCAACTCAAAGGTTCATTATTGTGTTCACAAGAGCGCGCCACTGATCCATAACCTGAGACAGATAAATTGGTTACTTCGAGAAAAGAAAACCTAACAAGATATAAATGAAAAGATGTAAGGTAATGAAGGGAATGATGATAAAAGAGTTGAAAGGATAAGAAGCATACGAGAAAGAAGAATTGGTGAAACGAGAAGGATAAAAGCAGGCGAAGATAACAAAGACGCATCGTTACGAGCAGACGGTCTGGCAGTGTTACCAACATCAGATTGACGCGTCTGATTCCGCTGGATAACGCGACCAGCGGCCCAGATCACAATTATTTAAATAATTTGACTTCCGTTTTACGGGCTGTTACTCATGGAGGGATGACCAGCAGCTCGGAACGAAACCAAACAACTTCGATATGACTTCGAGTAATGACTAATATAAGGCTCAGGGCAGTCCGCGTGGGGTTCTGCGCTAGACAAAGTGGATTTCAGGTGGTTACTGTCTCCATCTTCAGGGTAATTATGGCGTCTTCTTTCAAAAGGAAATTTGCTCATCTGGTCACGAAATTACGCGACACGTTAAGTCCATTACCGTCTTCACAAAATCCCTCCACGCCACCCTAGAGCTAGAATGAAACCAAACATCTTCATGACGTATTTAAAACCCATTTTAATATTATCCTCTCATTTATATCTACGATTCTCACCACACATGCTTCACGCTTCGTGTGCCAACAAAAACTGACCTGTCTTTCGCCTTACTTACTACAGCACGATAATTACAAAGCTCTAAAGAATGAAGTTCTTTGTTGTTTCAGAAAAGTTCACTTGAATCATTCTTCCACTCTGTGTAGTAGGGTGGAGTCGCGTGGCGATCTTCATGGTTTCGCTTCTATAGTCCGAGCGTCGTTATGCTAATATCTACGAAAATCCTGGTGTTTCTAGTTCAGTGTTCTTGCATATGACCAAGTATTCAGGTTCTCAAGGCGGTGAGGTTGTCGGCTTTCGCCTTCCGACCTGTG